TACCTGATGGCTCAGAGGGTGGACCTTAGTAGAATCAGGAGATTTTTGTGGAGTTGGAGCATATAAAACAACCTCTCTGTCCTTGGAACAACGATAAACCTGCAAGGGAGGAATAGTAATAGGGGAGGACGAAGATGCACAATTTGGTAAAATAGGCAACAAGAGTTTCCCATGACAGGGAAAGACTAAAACTAGGGAAAGTGTATGCCCTGACACAGAAAAAAAAAAGATGACTAAAAAAAGGTAACATCAACACTGACATGGTATTGGCCAGAAATGGGGTCATAGCAGTGATAACTTTTTTGAGTACGAGAATATCCCAAAAAGGCATACTTAACCTAACGAGGTGAAAGTTTATCCCGACCCAAACCGAGAAGATGAACAAATGCGACGCAACAAAAAATACGAGGAATTAGACCAAATGACGAGTTATCAGGGTATAGCAACGAAAAAGGGGATTGATTGTCTAAAATAGTAGAAGGCATGCGACTAGTAAGATATACTGAAGTAAGAACTGCATCAATCTAATATGGTTTTGGTACATACATGTTAAACATCAAGATTTGAATAACATCAAACAAATGACGATGTTTACGTTTAGTAACACCATTTTGTTGGGAGATATGTGGACATGTGATTTGATAGACAATGCCACAATCGACACAAAAAATTTTCATAAACGATTGAATATACTCAAAAGCATTGTCAGAAATAATAATTTTAATACGTACATCAAACTAAACCATAATTTAATTATAAAAAGTAGCAAAGGCTTTAGGCAACTCAAATTTGTCTTTCATAAGAAATAATCAAGTTATACAATAAAAATCGTCAACAAAGATTACAAAGTATTGAAAACTAGAGATACTTTTGACTCTTGTAGGGCCCCAAATGTCAGTATGAACAACATTGAATGATGAGACTCATGACTTGAAGAACTAGGAGGAAATGAACTACGATGATATTTGCCTAATTGATAAGCCTCAAATTCTAACGTAGAAGAAGAACTCAAAACAGGGATAACTTGGCGCAACTTCTACAAGGATGGATAATCAAATCAAAAATGCCACTAAAGAGGAGACACCGTAGCACTCAAGGCATGAACAAAATTACCAGTATCTAAATAGTAAAGATCATTGCGCTCACCCCACACCAATCACCTTCTTTGTCTTAAGGTTCTAAAAAACACAAGAAGATGGAGAAAACGTTACTGAACATTGTAAGGACTTAGTTAACTAACTTACAGATAATAAATTAAAAGGAAAATTAGGAATGAATAAACCAAATGTTAATGACAGGGATGACATAGGACAAAGATCGCCAGTCCCATGTACTAGTTGAAAGGAACCATTAGCTAACACAATACGTGAAATGGACAAACAAAAGTTAGAGAATAAAGATGACATATCAGACATATGAACACCAACTCCTGAATCAATGATCTAAGAAGATGAAGAAGAACGAGAAAACGTACATGCTAAGTTACCTCCATTGACAAAACTTGCAATAGAAGTAGACCAACTTGAAGAAAGTAGAGATAATTGGCGACAGAGTTGTTTGAGCTAAGTAACATATGTTTGTCTCCTATATTCAGTATGTCCTATGCCACCATAATAATCATATCTATCACCCCGATCGCCACAACCACAATTCAAATTTGCCATTTCGAAATCTACGGTAAGAGTATCTCCGATCTTTATCTTTTTTTGTACATAAATTTAAATTTAGGTAAAAATGATCTAAAATGGTTCGTCAATGCTGAACCCATACTCATACCAAATGAAGATAAACCCTTTTTTAAACCCAAATTAAGAGAGATTTAAATTTTTAATGTTAAAATTTTAACATCTTTTAAAAATACAATGATCATATTTTACCCTCTTTTGAATTTAGATTTGTCCTCATTTAAATTTAAATTTAAAATTTTCTATTAGAGCGGTCTATACTAAATCAATTTTTTTTATCTTTTTTCTACTCAAATTTAAATAAAATTTAAATTTCTATTAGAAATGATCCAACTAGGTTACAAACAACCACTATCAAACGAAAGCACCACAAAAGAGAGCCAAAAATATATATAAAAAAACTTCAAATATGCAAATCACGTCGAGTAAGAGCATCTTCAGCCCATTTTCTATTTCTTTTCTTTTAGTTATTTTAGCTATCCAACCACAAAAAATCCTCTCCAATCCACTATCTATCCCAATTTCTATTTTCCATTTCACCAAAATGGCTCTCCAAATATGGAGATCCATTTAGTCTCTCTAAATTCTCTCTATCTTTTTTTTTGGTTTCTATATATATGTTGTATTCTTTTTAAATTTTTGGAAATTAGTAAAAGTTACCTAAAGAAACTAGTTAAAATGGAAAATGTGATTAAAGTGTAGTTGTAAAAATAATTAATTAAAGTAAAAAATATAATATTTAAATATAATTTAGTTAACTATTTTGGAGGGTCCAGTCGAGAAGGTGTACACCACACCAGAGAGAAATCAGAAAAATGCACTCTGGAACAGTACCGAAAAGTAACCAGTGCTGTTCATCGTCTTCTCAACCTTGGCGACACTGCTACAGGCACAAAAAACATGCATAAATCCTCCAAGAGGGGCTGAGTAACTCTCAGAACTCTAGGTAGGGCCAAAGTGGCACCCACAAAACCAAATCCAAGCAACAAATGTCGAGAAGAGGAGCTCCACCAACCACCGTGCAGTGGGTCTTCCACCAGATCCAACTGCCCAACACAACAACAACAACAACAACAACGAGCAGAAGCCAGAAGGCTCACAACCAGCAGCCAACAGATCCAAAAAGGAGTAAAAACACACCAAAGAGTATCACAACGCACCAAAAAGCAGAGGAAACTTCCAGATTTGTCGCCGGAAGACCACCGGAGTACCCGTCGGCCAAAAAGTACCAAAAACGCATCAACAACACTCCAAGAGGGCTGGGTATGTCAAACCCACCCTCTATTCATCTAGTCGGAGCTATCTGTGAAGGATCAAAGCCTCCAAGCGCAAGAAAATACCCCAAATCTTTATATATGGAAAAACTCCCTATTTTCGCTAAATATTCAAAAATAGAAAACTCCATCCAGATGACTTCAAAAAATAAAACAAAAATTACCGCGGTCTTCAGCACGAAAAAACGCGTCGGAAAGTATGCTGACATCAGCATGACGTCACTTCCAGCAGATCTCCGACGAGTACACAGTAAGAGGCCTTCTGTGTTCACTGTTCCTTGAGTTGTTTTATGTAATTAACAACTAATTGCTCTGCTACCAAGATTAAGGTTTGAAAGTGAGAAGGAAGAAGACAGGGTCAATGTTACTCCTTGCCCCTTTGTTGATTGAGATAAGCAGTCTTACACTACCTTATTTGAATAATTATAATATTATCCTCCACAAATATAAAGTATAAAAATAAGAACCCTTCACATATATACATGCACAAATTACACTTAGCATCCTCGAGGTTTATCAAGAATACACTATGACCCTTTAGACTATGGAAATTACACTGTCTTGGTCGCAGAGTTAGTTGTAAAACTGTGTTGCCCCTTTGACAATTATTTACCTTTGGTCAAAGTTAATGTGTTAATGTAGAAAGAAACAGGGGGGAAAATAATCAACCAGACAATTTTTTTCTTATATGTTTATATTTCCTTCTAAATTCTTGTTATTCTATATTTTGATTGCAAAATAAAGTTTTTATTGGGGTCCAAATGACATCACACCAATCAAAGAAGCCCAAGCCAACTGTGATGTCATTTAGGCTCTAAATTTGGTCCCAAAATTTGATCAATCTAGCATTACTGTTTTATGTATACCTAATATTTCATACTTCTTTTCTATTTTTTTTTTCTTTACAGTGACTTTCCCATTGGTTGATTGTAAGAATGTATAAAGCGAAAAAATGAAGACGTTAATATATGTTGCGTTTTCCTTAAGTTTTATTTTAAAGATGAAATGAAATAAAAAAAAAAGATATGCTATACTATTTTGTAGAATAATTGTTTTCTTATTTGGATAGAATAGAACACTTGGTAAAATGAATTTTTTGATTGATTTTTTTAAAAGTATGAACTGTTCATTGATTTTACTATAGTGATCATTTGGCAAAATCTGATTGGTCTAATTAGAAGCACATATTGCCAGTTTGTTGTGTTGTTGACTGGAGCAAGGACTGAATAGGCATTTCGGAATGTTGATAATGGCATGAATTGTTAAAGATATTTGAAATTTCATGATTGATGGGATGAATCCCTAGCAATGTGCCTGAATATAAGGCATGATTTTCAGCCATTAATTATGGCTGAATGATTTCATAAGTACTTTTCACCCTACAAATACAGGTGTTATCCTTGTGTCAAATAGACAACACAAGAATGTAATCCAAGTATAAACCTAGAGTAATCCCTTATGTGCACTGTGTCCATGAATATAGGCGTTACAAGTCGAACAATTGAATTTTTTAACATATATTAGTGAATTATGCCTTGTATAAACATACACAACACAAGAATGCAATTCAAGTATCAACATAGAGGAAGCCCTTATGGGCACTGTGTCTGTGAATGTGGGCCTTATAGTTGAACTATTAAATTTGATTGTTTCTGTTTTTCTCTTATTTCATATCTCAAATATGTTCCCATCCAAAATTTATCATGAATATATGTCAACTAACTATCAACCAATGGCTGGGGGAAAGTATAATACTGTTAAGACCCCAATGTATAGAGTTTTATTTCCAGAATTTCAGAGGACGAATTGTATTTTTTTTATAAACCTTAAAGGGATACGTAAGTCAAATGTTCATGAAATATGTGGATTCTATGTAAAAGTGCGTAGGTTAAGGTGATCAATTTTTCGGACAGAAATGTAATAATACTTCTTGTGCAATATAATGGTTAACCCTTCAAGGGGGAAAGAAAAATATAATCCTATTTTTGAATCTCATGGTCAAAGTTTTTTCAGGTTTCCCAAATAATGTAGAAGTAGCCAAATGGTTGCATTATTGCATAAGGTTCTGTTTTCCCTGTACTGGGCTCTGAGAAATCTTTGTTTCTTTTCGTTCACCCATTTTGTTCGACACTTTTAACTATGGATGTTGAAAAAATTTATTAGTTCTTGAAGTTCAAGTGTAACACTGGAAGAAGAAAGGTTTAAGGTTGGGGTGGGATTATTTACGTTTCATTTACAAATGTTGTGTTTTGTGTTAGGTGAAATTGGAAACTGGAGAAAGAAGTGAATTTAAAAGTGTTTTTGGGATTTGACTTTTGAATTTAGGTAAGAAGAATGGGGTCAGAGGGAAGTGAGAAGCACATGGTGGTTACTCAAGTTAGTGTTGGTGGTTTCGACAACTATGTAACTGCAAAAATGCTCTGCGATTACTTGGAAGCTAACATTGGAGCTGTTTGGAGGTGTAGATTGAAGACTTCTTCAACCCCTCCCAATTCTTACCCAAATTTTATGATTAACCCGGCGAATGTCCTGACAACAAACGATTACAAGAAGGTGGAGCCTCACGCATTTGTGCATTTTGCCATTCCAGACTCTTCAATGTTAGCTCTGGATTATGCAGGGCGTGGTGAGCTTATATTTGAAAAGAAACCTCTGAAAGTAAGTTTGGGGCCCGAGACTCCACATCATATGAATCAGAGGAGAAGGACGACAATCCCCTTCAAGTTATCTGATGTGCGTGTTGAGATTGGAGTCTTAATTAGCCGAGATGAGTTCTTTGCTGGTTGGAGAGGTCCTGCTACCGGGGTTGATTTTCTGGTGGACCCTTTTCATGGGACATGCAAATTCCTTTTCACGAATGACACTGCTTTCTCCTTCAAAAGTCCAGCCATGCATGCAGTCATAAGATGCAATTTTAAGATTGAGTTCTTGGTCAGAGACATTAATGAGATCGAACAAGATGCAGATATGTCATCCTTAATAGTTTTGTTGCAGCTGGCCTCCTCTCCTTTAATTTACTATAGAACTGCAGATGATGATATTGAAGAATCAGTTCCGTTTGATTTGTTGGACGATGATGATCCATGGATCCGAACTACAGATTTTACTCCTAGTGGGGCCATTGGTAGGTGTAATACTTATCGAATCTCAATCCCACCTCGCAATGGTCCAAAGCTGAAGAAGGCCATGGATTATCTTAGGGAGCGGGGGGTGCAGGTATCAAATGACCGCCCTAGACAGCAGCTTAGGATACGGGATGAACCTGATTTTGGGATACCCATGTCAGATCCTTTCTTTTGTATTCAATACAAGAAAGGTGTATCCTTTAAGATTTTGTTTTTGGTAAATGCAGTCATGCACAAAGGCATAATAAACCAGCACCAGTTGCAAGACAGCTTCTTTCATTTACTGAGAAGCCAAAGAGACGAGGTCAATGTAGCTGCATTGAAGCACATCTATTCTCATAAATGCCCTTTGTATGATGCTTGTAGGAGGCTGAAGCTTGTTCAGGAATGGTTGCTGAAAAATCCTAAGCTTCTTGAGAGACCTAGAGAGTTGAATGATGTTGTCGAAGTTAGGAGGTTGGTTATAACCCCGACCAAAGCCTACTGTCTTCCACCAGAAGCTGAACTTTCAAATAGGGTTCTTAGGAATTACAGAGAAGTTGCTGATAGATTTTTAAGGGTTACCTTCATGGATGAAGGCATGCAGACACTTAATAAGAATGCAATTGACTATTATTCTTCACCTATCCTTTGGGGCATCACTTCAAATTTTAATTCCCAGAAAACCACAATGTTCCAAAGAGTGAAGAGGATTGTAAGTAAAGGGTTTAAATTATGCGGTCGAAAATACTTCTTTTTGGCATTCTCAGCTAATCAATTAAGGGACCGTTCTGCTTGGTTTTTTGCTGAAGACCAGAAGATTAGAGTACGTGACATAATTAGTTGGATGGGGAAGTTTAAAGACAGGAACGTTGCCAAGTGTGCTGCTAGGATGGGACAGTGCTTCTCTTCTACTTATGCCACAGTCGAAGTTCCATCAAGTCAGGCTTATTTGAAACTTCCAGATATTGTGAAAAATGGTTATGATTTCTCCGATGGGATCGGTATGATGTCAGCTGATCTTGCGGCTGAAGTTGCAGAGAAATTGCAGTTGAAAGTAAATGCACCCTGTGCTTACCAGATCAGATATGTGGGTTGCAAAGGTGTTGTTGCATGTTGGCCAGAAAAAATTGGTCGGTTCCGGCTATCCATAAGGCCAAAAATGATTAAGTTTGAATCCAATCACACGGTCCTTGAGATTTGTTCATGGACTCATTTCCAGCCCGGATTTTTGAACAGGCAGATAGTGACATTACTTTCTGCTTTGAGCGTTCAAGATGATATATTTTGGAGAATGCAGAACTCCATGATTTCCAAACTGAACAAAATGCTTGAAGACATGGATGTAGCTTTTGATGTCCTTACCGCTTCATGTGCTGAGCAAGGAAATACAGCAGCAATAATGTTGGGTGCTGGTTTCAAACCTCAAACTGAACCTCATCTACAAGGCATGTTAACTAGTATAAGAGCTGCACAGCTTGGGGATCTCAGGGAAAAGGCTAGAATATTTGTTCCTTCAGGGAGGTGGTTGATGGGCTGCTTGGATGAGTTAGGGGTACTTGAACAAGGCCAGTGCTTTATTCAAGTGTCAAACCCTTCACTGGAAAATTGCTTTGCAAAGCAGGGCTCTAGGTTTTCTGAGACAAGGAAAAAATTGCAAGTAATTAAGGGCTTTGTGGCAATAGCAAAAAACCCGTGTCTTCACCCAGGAGATGTGCGAATTCTGGAGGCAGTAGATGTCCCTGGGCTGGACCATCTTTTTGATTGTCTGGTTTTCCCTCAAAAGGGAGATAGACCGCATACAAATGAAGCATCGGGAAGTGACCTTGATGGTGATATCTACTTCGTGACGTGGGATGAAAATCTTATTCCACCTAGTAAGAGAAGCTGGACGCCGATGGATTATGCATCCGCAGAAGTTGAGCTATTGCCTGATCCAGTCAGTCACTGGGTAATTTTTCATCTGTTTAAAATCCTCTGCATCCTTTGTTAAGTTGGCTTTGTCATCGTCTTCATAGTTCAATTGTTTTTATTTGCTTTTTTTTACAGCTTACTTACTGGATGCTTCATCCCTTTAATTGCTAAGTTTAGTCATTTCATTAGTTTGCTTTGCTGGTCAAATTAGTCACTCACCTCTGTTAAGTTGAGAGAAAGAGAGAGGTAAAAAACTTAACCTAACTCTCATACATCACTCGTATTTATAGTTAACCTATAATAACAATAATTATACATACATCCTCTTACTATTAATAAATTACACATACTACCCTACTATTCTTAACACTCCCCCTCAAGCTGGATTATATATATCATATAATCCAAACTTAGAACAAATAGCTGTAAGACGTGTACGACTCAATGTTTTGGTAAACATATCTGCAAGCTGATCTTCAGATTTCACAAATGGAGTTGCAAGTTTTCCAGCTACTATTTTGTCGCGAATAAAGTGACAATCAACCTCAATATGCTTAGTTCTCTCGTGAAACACAGGATTAACAGCGATATGGATAGCTGTGTGGTTGTCACAGAACAACTGTAAAGGAAGTTGAACTAAAAACCCAATTTCTTGAAGGAAGTGTAGTAGCCACGTCAGCTCACTTGTCGTATGTGCCATTGTCCTATACTCAGCCTCAGCACTGGATCTTGTTACCACGGGTTGTTTCTTACTTTTCCATGAGACAACATTACCTCCTAAGAAAGTACAATAACTAGTGGTTGATCTCCCGGTCAGAAGGAGAGCCAACCCAATCAGCATCTGAGAAACCTTCCACTCTAAGATGTCCATTAGCTCGATATAACAGTCCAAGTTCAGGAGTATGTTTGAGATATCGCAGAATACGAGTAACTGCCTCCCAATGTGGTACTGTAGGACACCCCATGAACTGACTTACTATACTGACTGCATATGAAATATCTGGTCGAGTAATAGTTAGATAATTGAGCTTCTCAATCAATCTGCAATACCGACCCGGATTCTCAAACAATGCACCATCATCCTTCAAAAGTTTCTGATTCGAATCCATAAGAACATCAATAGGTCTGCCACCAAGCAAACCTGCTTCCTTAAGCATGTCAAGTACATATTTCCTTTAGGATAAACAAATATCCTGTTTAGATCGAGCCCCCTCAATACCCAAGAAATACGAGAGTTTTCTCAAATCCTTAGTTTGAAATCGATCCTGTAAGAATATTTTTAACTTGACAATCCCCTCAGAATCATTTTCAGTAATCATAATATCATCTACATAGACCATCAATAGGACATAACCAGCATCTGTCTGTCTATGAAACACAGAATGATCTGTCTGACATCGAAGAAGACCAAACTCTAAAACTGCATCTGAAAACTTACCAAACCATGCCCTCGGTGACTACTTCAAACCATACAAAGATTTCTTTAACCGACATACACTCTTACTATACTCCCCCTGAGCAGTAAACCTAGGTGGCTGCTCCATGTATACCTTTTCAACCAAGTCACCATGTAAGAAGGCATTTTTGACGTCTAACTGAAACAAGGGTCAATCAAGATTAGTAGCCAAAGAAATCAAGATGCGAACAGAGGAAATTTTGGCAACAGGAGAAAAATTCTCCTCATAATCAACACCATAAGTCTGAGTAAAGCCCTTTGCAATAAGCCGGGCTTTGAGACGCTCCACAGATCCATCAGGATGAAATTTAACAGTATACACCCAACGACAGCCAACAGTTCGTTTACCAGGAGGTAAAGGAACGAGTTCTCAAGTCCCATTATGATGTAAGGCATCCATCTCCTCCTCCATAGCTTTCCTCCAACCCGGATCAGATAATGCATGCTGTAAATGCTTAGGAAGAGATATAGAAGATAATTGGGAAGTAAAACAAGAGAAGACAGGAGACAAGGCATCATATGAAATAAAATGAGAAATAGGATGATTGGTAACACACGAACGAGTACCTTTGCGAAGAGCAATAGGTAAAGAGTCTAAATTACCTGATGTACCAGGATCAGAAGGCGGCAAGGAAGATGGTAAGGGCACCTCAGTCAATGGGCGAGGGCGGCGAGAGTAAACACGGAGAGGTAAAGTAGATGGTAACACATTGGGCAGCAGAATATCTGAAGATGAGAAAAGAGATGGTGGAACAGGAGATGACCCAAAGTCCAGATCCAAAGGTTGAAAAGGTGCTGGAAAATATGGAACAGATTCTTCAAATGTGACATCAGAACTAGTAAAGTATCGGTGCAAAGAAGGACTCTAGCAAAGATACCCCTTCTGCGTGTGGGAGTAACCAAGAAATACACATTTGGTAGCTCGAGGGTCAAGTTTGTCAAACTCAGGGCCCAAATTGTGAACATAACAGACACAACCAAAAACCTTAGGAGTCGGGGAAAATAAGGGCTTACCAGGAAAAAAGACAGAATATGAATTTTGCTCATTTAATACAGAGGATGACATACGATTGATAAGATGATAAGCAGTAAGAACAACATCACTCCAAAAATATCGGAGAATATTCATCTGGAATAACAGGGCACGAGTGACTTCCAACAAATGACGGTTCTTGCGTTTAGCAACACCATTTTGTGGAAATGTGTAAGAACAAGAGGTTTGATGAATAATTCTAGTTTTATTAAGATAAGCTGAAAAAGGATCAGATTCATATTCCTGAGCATTATCGGAGCATAAAGTACGTATACGACAACCAAACTAAGTTTTTATTTCCTTACGAAAAGTCTCAAAGATAGAGAATAATTCAGATCGAGCTTTCATAAAAAACAACCAAGTCACACGAGAATAATCATCCATAAATGTCACAAAATAAGGATATTTATTAGATGAAATATTCTTTATTGGACTCCATACATCAGAATGGACTAGACACACGATTATTGACTCTAGACTGAAATGACACACGGTGATGTTTACTAAGTTGACTCTAGACTGAAATGACACACGGTGATGCTTACTAAGTTGACAAGTTTCACAAGACAAAGACGACACATAACTAAGACTGGGAACTTGAAGCTTCAGATTCTGGAGAGAGGGATGTCCAAGACGACAATGCCATTGAAAGGAGACAACGAGTGCAGGGCCCGAGTAGGGGAATCAAAATCAAAGTAATATAGGCCACTAGCTTCATGTTCCGTACCAATTTTCCTCTTCGTCTTGATATCTTGAAAGACATAATAAGATGAATAAAAGGTCACAGAATAATTGAGAGAACGAGTAATCTTACTAATGGAAAGTAAACTAAAAGGAAATTGAGGGACAAATAACACAGAAGATAGGGACATATCAGGACTCAAGTGAGTAGTCCCAAGACCTGACACTTTAGAACAAGAACCATTAGCAAGAGTAACACTACGGGTGGAAGTAGAAGGCTGATAAGTAGGAAACATAGCAGACGCACTAGTCATGTGGTCAGAAGCGCCAGAGTCTATGATTCAGGGACTACGAGTGGAGGAAAATAAACAAGTAGAAGCAGTAACAATGGAGGAAGATGGTACAACTTGTTGTTGGGACAGAAACTGAGCATACTCCTTTCGACCCAGTGTAATAGTAACTGACCTAGTGTCTGGTGGACCTGACCGAGGTATGGGAGCAACAACAGAGGTATCATCCTGATAAGAAGCCTGATTTAGAGCACCAGAAGGTTTTCTATGTAAATCCCAACAGAAATCAACAGTGTGCCCTCCACGACCACAGTGAGTACAGGAACGGGGTCCACTACGGCCCCCACGACCACCCCGTACGACCTCCTCGACCACCACGTCCACCTCGATGACCATCACTATGGCTACTAGGAACCACAAGAGTTGAGCGATCAGTGGAGACACCATGATCAATGCCTGAAGGAGTAGACAATATAGCACGCTGTAAACCAGAGCAAACCTCAAGTGGTGATAGAAGACTAGAACCACCCAAAATCTGAGAACGAATAGCTTCATATTCAGGTTTCAATCTTACCAAAAATCTAACAACATTCAGGTCCTCATGTTGCTTCTGCCAAACTGCTACATTAGTAATAAAATGATGGTAGGTCTGTATCTCCTCACAGACTCCCGGAACATGAGAGTAATAATCCACAAGGCTCAGAGTACCCTGCTCTAACAGGAAGTACTCCTTGCACACCTCATACGCACGGGTAAAATTACCTGTACCAGAATACATAGTGGCCAAGTGATCCCATATCTCCTTGGCAGTGTCAAGGTAGAGTAGAGTGGAACTAATACTAGACTCAATGCTATTCAGTAGTAAAGACATAATTTGATCATCCTCTTGTTCCCACTAATCATACCCAGGAGTATCTTCCTTGGGTTTAGGATCCACCAAATATTTCTTAAATTTTTTGCCTCGAAGAAATACTTATGCGGATTGGGACCATAAAGTATAATTGGTCCCATTGAGTTTAACAAAGGTAATAGGACCATTGATAAGAATGGGGGGTGGCAAAGACAGAGTAATAGACTTGGTATCTTGCTTGGGTTCCATTACAGTGCAGCAAATATGGAACAAGAAGTGCTGCAATGTAGAACCAGAGAAAAGAAGGCTGCTAGAAGACTGAATTGGACTGGCTGGACTTACTGGACCACTGAACCGGGAAGAATAGGTTGACTGGACTGCTGAACCGGACTAGAAATACCCACTGGACCACTGAACCGGGAAGAATAGCCTGACTTGAGGGCTAAACTGGACCAAAAATACCCACTGGACTACTGAACTAGGAAGAATAGCCTGACTTGACTTCTGAACCGGACTAGAGAAGCCCACTTGAGAGCTGAACCGGACTAGAGATACCCACTGAAGCACTGAACCAGACTGAAACAAATTGAACCAGGCTGAACCGGAATTGGACCGGTCTGGTCTGGTCTGGATCTTGGATTAGAATCTGGTTCTGGGTCTAGATCTGGATCCTTTACCCAAACCCATAAACTGACCCACTTGAACAGGGTCTTCTCCTTCGCTGGTTAGGGTTTCTACCAAACCTTATGCCTTTACTGTTGAAGGCCAC